CGCCTCCCTGCCCGCGCCCGACTCCACCGACTCCGCCGCGCGCTGGCCCGCGGCAGCTGCCCCGCGCTGCCGCCGCCGCTTGTCGCGTGCGCCGCCGCCACCGCTTGCAACTTAGCTATAGCGTTTGGAGTGGAAATCGGGAGTTCGGGACAGGGATTGGGGATTTGCCTCTTTCATTGAAGGGTAGAATGGTCATTCACAAATGATAATAACATTTTGTTTCATCATTTAATTCTAAAATTTCGGGCCCACCATACTTCTGTCAAAACCAGGGGCAGACGACTGCTTCATTTCAAAAAAGCAGGGGCAAAATCACAAACCCTAAAAAACAAGGGTAAAATCACAATTGAATTGTAAAGCAAGGGCAGAAACACAATTGCCCCTAATTTTATTTATCTGCGTGAACAAAATATCTGAATTGCTAAAAGAGAGTTCAAACAGTTTTTCTCCTCTCGAGACTTTTACTCCGGCGCCCCTAATGACTCATTTACTCCTCGAGACAAAACAATCAAGAGAATTGCTTAGACTCTGTTTAGTTCGTGAAATAAAAATTATTGGGTATCATACCGGACGTTTGACTAGAAGTCGGAGGGGTTTTCGGACACGAATGAAAAAACTAAGTTCATAACTCGCCTGGAAACCACGAGACGAATCTTTTGATCCTAATTAATCCGTCATTAGCACATGTGGGTTACTGTAGCACTTATAGCTAATCATGGACTAATTAGGCTCAGAAGATTCGTCTCGCGGTTTCACCCCTAACTGTGCAATTAGTTTTTATTTTTATCTATATTTAATGCTCCATATATATGTCAAAAGATTTGATGTGACGTTTTTGGGAAAAAAAATTAGGAACTAATCATAGTGAATATGTTTAAATGCATAATATTTATATAAATTATATTAATGTATGATATCCACAAAAGTTATCAATATATGTCTAGATTTATTAACATCTATATGAATATGAGCAATACTAGAAAGTCTTACATTATGAAACGGAGGGAGTATTTATTACTCCCTCCATTTCAAATTGATTTCCTAAATGATCTACATATTTGTGTTCATTTATTAGGTCTATTCGTTATTTATGCATTGGAGTAAATGGACATTGATACATGCATCCGTGAACACATGTATTTATAACCCATATGCAATATTTTGATTTGCTATTGGCTAGGAAATAGTGGGGATGGTGCATGTATTGAGTTTGTTGCTAGAGTAAATATAGTATGAGAGAGTTATTAGCTTTTCTTGGTCTTGGTATAACTATGAAATATGTAGATCAATTTGAAATGGAGGGAGTAACATGGTAACCGCCTCAGCCATGTTGTACTTGTACATGCCTAGAGTGGGCTTTTCAAGTTACTCCATAGGAAGCTTCCAATGAAAACATACAGTATTGACTGTACTATCACAGCGTTCATAGTATTACTTGACATACTCTACATGTATTTTAAATTTTAGTGGTTGACATTATTATCTATTAAAATATGCTATAGTTTTACGTGGTAAAATAATAATTATGCTATAGTTTCAAAAGTATCGGTAAAAAAATAATTATGCTATAGTTTAAAAACTATCATTAGATATTGGGAATTAACGTGGCAGGAGAAACATAGTTTCACCACTTAATTTTTCAAACAATAAATACATAGCAATTTTTATAGCTGCCCATTCGCATTATCATTACAAGGCACTACGTTTGCGCAAAGATTATTGCATGCATGCTATGAATTATGGAGAGTACAATTTTTCATCAACTTTGGTGGAGAAATCCACTGAATTAATAGATAATATCCCAACCAAAAAGTCATGTTCCTAGGACATGTCATCCACCCCCACTATCTCCATAAAAAACTGAAAAGAATGGGAAAAATTGTACGGTAAAGTCAATGCAGTTTGTTTGCTTGTCTGAAGTATGAACACAAGAATGATTCTTCAACAAAAACATAAGAATCTCTCCGCAAAGCTGGCATGTGGACCTATACAATATAGATAAATCAGATAAGGATTGTATCTTTTGGCACATTCCTAACCAGCAATGTATATTAATAAAACACCTAAAACACATAAAAATAAGAGAATTAAGGAGTAGTATATATTTTCAGAGGAGAATACGCATACGTATAAAATTCCCTAAAACACATGCACAAATTAAATGAGGCTAAAAACATACTCCATGGAGTTAGCATGCCCACAGCACGAACACACGTACATTTCCCTGGACATTTTTGTGCAATTTGGATATGCATAAGTCATCCTAATTAAGGTAGATTAATTAGATACATTATATTACATTCTACATATATAGAAATGTTCCTTCTTAGCTAGTTCACTTTGAATTCAACGATGAAAGGCACTAAAGATGTCAATGTTGAAAGGAACGGATCAAAGGGCTGGAAAGTCTCGGTCATCGGCTTCCACGCTCTACCACCAACTAACAAGATGACAAACAAAAATGTCACAGTACACATCAGCTAATTTACGTGCTGTCAATACTTGTGAGTTTGTCCACGTTTCAATTTACTCATGCAACCCTATTCGAGTACAGTTATTGCTAATATCTTAATTAGTAACAAAAAGAAGTTACGTCGCCTAATCAAGATGAACATATAAAACCATCCAAGATTAACCACATGCTGCATGTGGAAGTGGATAATGACTTGGATAATTACTCTACACCCATGGAGTTAATTAGACAAGAGTAGTATAGTACTAGGAATTTCCACTAGTTTTACTTCATTAAAGAGAGCTAGCAGCACAATTAATCGGTCTTATAGTAAATGGCCAAAGTGGCGCAGCACAAATGGTACGTGACATGTTAATACTACAGTAGAATGAACACGTAGTATGAACGGCCTTTTTGACTTTCTACCCTAACACATGGCTTTACCTTCATCTCTGTGACTCTGTCCTCTTGCACGGATCTGTTTTTGAGAGGAAAAAAAAAACAAAACCCATACATATCGTCCAGAACATTCGTCCCACTGACATGTGGGACCCAGACACTGACCCTCTCCCCTCTCCGACAGTATCTGGACTGGATCGTCATCCTACGGCCACGATTCACGCAGCCGCCGCCGCTTCCGTCACCATCCCCACGTTGGCGCGGGGCCCGCACCCCCACCCACTGACGTCAGCGGCGCCAGAGCAGCGGCGTGCAGTGGCAGGCGGCTGAAAATAACGGTGAACTCGCGGTTCCAGACACGTCTTTTCTTAAACCGTGGTTAAGCTGCTAATTGTGGGCGGGTTTAGGCGACCGCCCTAAACCACACGGCTTACGGTTTAACCCCGCACGCGCCCCTCGATGACAGCGTGGCCCCACCGTGATGCGACCCCACTTGTCAGCGACGGTCGCGTGGGAGGGGGCTGGAGGCGGCGCGCTCACCGCGGATGGCGCGGCGGCAGGCCACTCCTGTCACGACACGTGGGATGGTACCCACCGGTGGCCCACCTGTCAGTGAGGGGAGGGGGCAGTGACACCAGTGAGAGACGAGGAGTAATTCTATAAAACGGATTTGGCGCACGCGGCACGCCCACCCGCTCGCGCAATTCGCACGCTCTCCTCGCCTCGCCTCGCCTTCTCTTCTCTCCTCACCTCGCCCGCGTCGTCGTCGTCGTCGTCTCCGCGGCGGCGGGGGAAGCAGCGGGAGGCGGAGGCGGAGCAGCAGCAGCACCACCACCCCGGGGCGGGGCCGCGGCGCGGTGCTCGCGCGCGTCGACTCCGTGTGGTGCGCGAATCGTCCTCTCCGCTTTACTCTTGGGTTCGTCATTTCGGTGGGCGGATGCGGGTGGGTTGGATTCGGTGTGGTTCGTGGGGGGTGGGGATTCGGATCGGGGGTGATTTTGAGAGGGGGGGATCGGGTTCTTGATTCGAGGTGCGATTCGGGAATCGGGAGTTGGAGCGGGGGAGGGGGAGGAATATTTCGTGTGGGGTTTGTGCGCGATTCTCCCCGTCGCTTTTGGGGTACCATCCAGGGGACGAGGGAGTCGTTTGATATGGTCGCGTTCATGCTTCTATTTTTGGGTGGCGATCTCCTGTAAAATTTGGACCCGGATTCGGGGTGGTTCTGTTTGTGGTCGAGTTTTCCTCGATTTGATTGCTGAGCGGAATATTTTGTTGGGTGTTCTTGAATTTTTTTTTTTGCGTCTTATGTGGTTGATTGGTTTGCGATTCTTCATTAGTTTATCTTCGCCGCGTTTGTGTAAATGTGGGTAATGTAAAGAACAAAAAAAAAATTCAGGGACTAAAATTAGTGTGTTCTGTTATGGCTTCAGCGTTGCTGGTCTGCAGCTGCTGCGGAAGTAGTAATAGATGAGGAAATGCCCACCGATTTTTCCAGATTGTTTGATTTCTTCTTGCCCTGTTGTTGTGGCCTTGATAAGATCCGGTTATGGCTACTTATTTTATTCTTTTATGCCGTTTAAATCAATTAGTTCATGTATCTTTGCTGTACAAATTGTGTGTTATCATTTTGAGTTGTGGCATTTTGTCAGTCCAAGATTCCCTGAGACAACGAACCTTACTAATGATGGCGGTGAGCAGCTACTGAGCTCTGCGTTTGCTTTACCTGATAGTGCTTAATTTGGCAATTGTTAGCTCTGCATAGTGCTACTGTACACGTGGTAGTGTTCAGTTTTGGTAGGAAGAGCACTAAATTTAAGTACTGCTATGTATCAGTTATTTCTTTCAGATTGTTTGACCACAGAACAGATACGTTTTCATGTTATCAATGCACATCCTTTTAGAAATATGCCTTGGTATTTGTATGTCAACTAAAGAAGCATGTCGGCTAAAATTGGTTCTATTTTTTCCAGGACAATCATGTCTTCTAAAGTTCCTGGGTTAGCATTACTTAACACCAGCATAAGCAAATTTTGGAGCGATGAGGAGCTTGTCCGATTCTTAGCAGAGAGGAAAGAAGCACACTCTCTGCCAGAGAATGTATTTGTGGGAATGAACATTTCTCTCATTGATCCACGTAACTCAGGTTTGCATCCAATCTATACACAGGATAATTAATGGTATTTTCCAACAAGATTATGGCATATGTGGAATTTGTGGTCTGACTTTCATAATTCAGTCATTATGGACCCTGAAGGCTTCTTTGTTTTGTCCTTTTTGATTTGTTATATACTTACTTTACAGCATTGTATTGTATGGTTGAGCAGTATTGCAACATTTTAATTCTCAATAGACAACTAAAGAAAATGAATTCTGCATAGAATTGATAACTATTTAGGGTTGAAAGGCATAAACAATATTTTATGCAATGCCAGAAAGAAATATTTTGAGCTCTGATGAAAGTGCCATGTTAAGTGCAGGAACACATACTTCTGCCCCATTGATTATGGCACAAATTGCCAGCATGAAGTGCTCATAAACTATAGCAGGATGTTATATGAGAAATAGTTTGGCACTTCACATTAAATTGAGCATTTTGTTTTTCATTTTTCTTAGCTTGTGCACCAATTGCTTGCCTGCTTTTGCTGGAAAAGTATGAAGTACACTCTTTGATGATTAAATTCTGTTCACTGTGTTGCTTGGCTAGAACTTACTCTGCCATCCTTACTAGATTCTCCAATTATGCAAAATCATTGTTTCCAAGTGAAAATTAAGTTTTCGAAGATGTCAGAATTCAGTATATGCAATTAATTATCAACTTTTGTTTTTAGTTGGAGTCACTATACAAGCAGATCATGTGCTTAGATTTTGGGGCTTCAGTTCACTTTCCACACTAAAATGTGCACCTAAGTTGTTGATATGTGTCTCTGCACTCTTCAGTATCCCACATCATAACACATAGTACATAAATCTACTGGAATCATATATTAATAACATTCTTGCATGTTTTAAATTGGTAACTGGTGCCTGGTTTCAATAAAGATTTGATTGCAAATTTTCTGAGGTATCAGAACTAAAGTTTACTCTTTTTTGCATAGCACAAGTCCACAGTTCACTGTGACCAGCGGTGCTATATCCTAGAGTTAAGCTATTCCTACAATGAAAACCACAATGGTGCTTAATGGCTTATTATCTTGTTAAACCTCAATAAAAGATAATCTGACAGAGATAACTTTTCTTGCAGAGGACATATGGTACATGAATTTTTCAGATGATCCACAATCCCCTAAGAATGGAGAAAATGCTATTATAAAGTCAAAAACCGGATACTGGAAAGTTGTTGGCACTGTTAGAATACCGACAAGTACTGTTATTGTGGGTATGAAAGTTTCTCTGGACCATTATGAAGGCGAAGCACCATCTGGTAAGAGAACTGGGTGGGTGATGGATGAATATCTGATTGAACAGAATGACGAAGCTAATCTACCACAGGTAACCCATGGTGGTTGATTGATATCATTTTTTTTTCTATAGCATATAAGCTTTTTTTCCAGGGTTGTTGATTGATATCTTTTGTATTTTTGACAGGACTACAAGAATTTGTGTACAATATTCTTTCAGGGAGACGACATATTAAATGCTGGAGATAAGCAGATATGTCTGAATGCAAATGTTCCTAATGAACGCAAGGAATTTTACCTTCAATATCTTGCTGAACTAGAAGAGCAAAATGCTGCATGGAGCAACCAGGTTTGTATTGTTTTCTTTATTATGTAAGGCATCCTTAGCAATACCCTGGATCTTTTAGTTTTGCACATATTTTTTCTCATTTTAGTGTAAAGTATACCTTGATCCATGATTGTCTGTCATGTAAAATTAAGAAATACTCCAGCAATCCTGTCATTGTAATTCACTTTTTTATTTTGATTTTGAAGTATTTAAGGTTTTCTCCTTCATAACCATACAAAATCTGTTGTTTGTGAGAGCATGCTCCTATCCGATCATCATTTACTACTTATTGCTTTCTTCTGCATTACAAACTGTGAATATTTAGATGTGTGATAATACTAATGAATATCCAATCTACATATGCCAGGCTGTATCTGTAAACGAGCAAGATGTCTCTTCCAGCAAAGGACTGGACGGGCAAAAAACTAGTGCTGCTGATGACCAATCTGTTAATCATGCCCCTTCTAGGGAGGGCTACATAGAATTGAATGACTTCTTAAACTCAGATTCGTCCGCATCAACTTCGGAATACTCAAGTCAACGCACTATGATTTCTGAAGAGTACTTCGATTCTGATGCATTTCTGAGGGAGATTAGGAATGACCATAACGCAGCTGATGAAGAACATACAGACAGCAAGTTCAGCGTAGCTGCAGCTAGTAAATCAGATTGCGTGGTTATCAGTCCACCTGAACAAGGTAACTTATCCCTTCTGTTGCTAGTTCCAAAACTAGAGGACGCTACAAATCTTTGTGTTTGTTCTAGAAAAGTAAGTGTAACAATGCAAACAACCATTTCAAAGTTTGTAACCATGAAAATTTGCAAGTAAAAAGCCCAAATGCAATATACTTCACACAAATACTAGAAATCGAGAACTGTTGATAATGCTAATTTTACAGCTGCACTTGCTCATATTGATATGCAATGTTTATTTGTTTGTTTCTTATTGCTACTGGTGAAGTTCTTGATTAGCATGCTTGTTCAACAGTATTGTTTCGCATACGAGTAACATGTAAGTTACTCTTGTCTAGAGAGTTAGATGATTACTTTTCAGCTCATTAACTTATTTTATTTATCTTGTTTATACAATAATTTGTTAGTAGGATTTATACTGAAGTTGGCATCTCTGTGCGTGCAGGGTTTGTTAACAATCTCGATAACCATGCCACCATAGCTGGAGATTCACCGCAAAAGTCAGTGAAAAATGATAAAGTAGACGAACACTCAAGTGAGGAGCATCCACAGCACAGTCCTACAACTTCCTGTTTCCCAAGTCATGTGAAACGAAGCCTTTCTAGTAGTTCCAGTAGCTCTCAGGGTACCAGCAACAGCAAGTCTCCCCAGAGACAGAGAGAGCGATCTACCAAAAAAATTGGAAAATTAGGAAAGTACTGGTGTTGTGGATCATTATAGTCCATTGCATAGCATTTCTATACTCTGTACAGGAAGCATGACATTACGCCATGCTATTTTGATACGGACTGGTCGCCTCAACAGATTTATGCCAGATCTTCTGATAGAACATAGTCAAAGAAGACTGCAAGTTTTGAAGCAACAATGACCAACAATACTACAAACTGTGGAAAGTTACATTTTTGTTTTGTTCATAGTGTGAAGATATCATGACCTTGATGATTCTGTCAAACTGAAGTGAGCTACCTTGATTCCATTCTTGATTGATAGGGTCAGATATTCACTGATACCTGTGTTAGTTCAGTGAAATGAGGATGGCAGTAGTTTCTGATTATCACCAGGTGCTCTCATTTGTAAACATCTACAGTACAGTTTCATATGATAGAATTTCACATTTTAGTAAGTACTAATACTGATTGCTCAATACTTAGTTATCCTGCTTGCATTTGAAGGAGTATAAGCTTTTGATTTATGAAATCCTCTGTGTGGCAGTCGCCTGTTGTCTGCTGGTAAAACTAGGATGAGTATAAGCTGGGTTACGTAGATGTTCTCACCTGACTGTAAACATGTTTTACTCTTCAGCTTCAAGTTTCTCCTTGAGTTGTTAATTTTCCATGTGAATGAATTACTGTCTACCGTAAGCATCTGGCCATAGTATGGTTGTGCTTGCTTATGCTATTTCAGCATCAGCATTGGCCACTCTTATACTCCCTCCGTTTTTTAACAGATGACGCCGTTAACTTTTTCTCACATGTTTGACCATTCGTCTTATTCAAAAAATTTACGTAATTATAATTTATTTTGTTATGGGTTGTTTTATCACTCATAGTACTTTAAGTATGATTATATCTTATACATTTGTATAAAATTTTTGAATAAGACGAATGGTCAAACATGTGGAGAAAAAGTCAACGGCGTCATCTATTAAAAAACGGAGGTAGTAACTTTTTTGAGTTATATACAAGCTTATCCCTTTTATCGGTTTTATTGGTTGATTTGGAGATCGGGAATGAAACTCTAAAAAATAGTTTTAGCCCAAATTATGATTTGATGATTGTGGATTTGTAATGGACTGTGTTGACACGAAATCGCGGCACACGCTAAAAAACACGGTTGCCGAGGCTCCCGGTAAATTTGGGATTTTGGTTTGATGAGAAGTTCTAATCGGGGCCTCACGGAAGTTCTAGTATATGTGAAGCTATCGGCGAATTTTGGCATGATTGAACTGTTCCATTGTACTCCCTTTTTTTAGAGAAATTATAATGTTTTATAGGTTTTTAATATATTTATCTATCTGCTTCTATCTATGTTTAAATTTATATGAATTGTACTAGTAGAAATGAATAACAGAACGTGGATGCTGCTTCTCTGTTCTTCTGGTGTGCTCCTTTTCCGTTCCCTGCCAAATGTCAGCTCCTAATTATATTGGTTGTGGCTTTTCTGGTGGGCCTCCATGACTTTGCGCTTCTTTTTCTTTTTGACGTATACGGCCTTAATGTCCGTCCTATGCGACATCAAAGATTAAAAAGATTAAGGTGGACACGACGTAATTTAAGAAGGTTAACACAAAAATGACGGCAAACCAATCTATCTGCCCTATATAGTTTACCACATCCTTCATTCTTTATTCATTAAATCCAACTGACAAAAATCATTCAACGCTTCAGATTCAACGAACCATACCTCCCTCACCTCCCACCACGCACCGCTCCTATATCCCGCGGAAACTGCATCCGTGTAATCGCCGCACCCTTGCTCTCGCCGCGTCGCGCCGACCCCCAACCCCATACTTCACGGGGAATTTAACTATTTGCCACTATTACATTTGCCAATTATCCAAATGCCTCTCTTGTATTGTTTTACTTTTGTCCCTTCTAAATAGGTGCTCTCTTCATTATTCGTTACTTTTTACCTACGTGGCATGCCAACATGGTAATTTTGGGTGAAAAACGGTGTGGGGCCCACTCGTCAGTCTCCCTCCCCATCATCTTTCCACGCGCATCCGCAGCCATCGGAGACGGAGAAGTCGTCGGCGTGGTCGCCGCGACGACCCCGTTAATGCCCGGCCACCGCCGGAGCCGGCTCTCCGTGGCCACCTCGTCGTCCCCGCCACCCCGTTGATATCCACGCCGCTCCCGTCGATGAGCGCGTCGTCAGTGCCGCCGGTGGCGCCGCCGCCGTCGTCGGCCTCCAGCTTGAAGCTCATGGCGGCAGCCAGGAACGGCCGGCAGGTCTCCCGGAGGGGCAGCGGCGCTGGAGGCCGTGCTCCCGGCGCCAGCACCGGAGCTCTCCGGCACGGCCACCTCGACGTCGAGGACTAGATGGTGGTGCGGGTGGTGGTGTTGATGCGGGGCCGACCTGGCCGGCGGCTGCCTGCGCCACCGCCGACTTCATCGCTGCCTCCTCCGATTTCTTCGCCCTCAACCTCCATCCACAGCATCTCCGATCCACGTCGCGCCGCCGCATCGATCCACGACCCCCCCCCCCCCCTAACGCCGCCGCATCCACGCTACACCCGCACTCCCGCAAATCACGTCGCCGTCACCCGGCCATCGCGCCCTCCGGATCGACGCTGCCACGCCTCCTCACGCCGTCCGCATCCCGCGACAACGCCGATGCCCAGCCATCGCGACGCCGGCGACCCCTCACTCCGATCGCTCCGCCGCCGATTTCCACCTGGGGATTCCCTGCGCCACCTCGCCCGCGAGGCCTTCCACGCAACGGCACCCCCCTCAGCCCTAGCGCCGTCGCACGCCGTCGTTCACCTCGACATCTGCAGCGGCAGCGGCAGATGTAGGCGACGGTCGCAATCCACCGCGACCACCTTGCTACCGGTGCATCATCTCCGTCTCCCCTCCCTCTCGTGCATCCATGCGGCAGCGATTTCTTCAAGCACTGCAGCGAGTCTGACACCCTGAGGTCGATTCAATCTTACATAAGGTAAAGCATATAAGAACCATACGATTCGCCATTATCGTCTTGTCCAAGATTCAATCATACCAGATGCTTTGCTTCATGCAGGACGCGGAAGGAGTGGAGGGAGAGGTCAGAGGAGGTATTCTGCTCTGCACCAAGATCTAGGCAAGGAGCGTGGTCCCCGGCGGATCCATCTACTGCTAGAATTGCAATCCCCTCCTGGTCTGTTGACAATATTGTTCCTGCTCCCTCCGTTTCAAAATATTTGACACCGTTGACTTTTTAGCACATGTTTAACCGTTCGTCTTATTCAATAAAATTTGTGAAATATGTAAAATTATATGTGTACATGAAAGTTTATTTAACAATAAATCAAATGATATAAAAAAATAAATAATTACTTAAATTTTATTGAATAAGACGAATGGTCAAACACATACTAAAAAGTCAACGGTGTCAAATATTTTGAAACGGAGGGAGTATATTGCAGTGTGCAACGCAATGCTGTTTGTGTATGCACACAACAATAATGAAATCAAGGTTGGATACAAAGTGTGGAACCTCTTTCGTTCTAAGCTGGCATCTGCTGAAGGATACCGTGGCCTTCTTTTTTCTGATATTTTTCTATTTTGTGTTCTTTTTTTCATGTAGGAGAGCAGCACTAGTGCGACCGGGAAGTTGGCAGCACATACGCATTTCAACGAGTCTTGAGCGTTCTAGATTTCTTGTGTGTTCTATATTGTGATCAGATCAACAAGGTGTCCATCTGGCATGCAATTTTCTCATTTGGGCTGTTAAGTGATTGGATTGGTTTCTTGTATTGCAATTTGTTGTGTCATGGTAAAATTATCATTCAGTTTACTTGGTAAAAGCAATCTATCTCTTCTGTCATGCACATGAGAGGCCTCCTGTAATTTGCTTGTGGCATCTTATGTTAGTAGGCATAATTATGGAAGAACTGGATTAGCATGGAAATTAATGGACTACATTAATTGGCGATGGTTTTTGGTTTAGTGAATTTGTCTATGCACAGTATCTTCTGGTGGTAACTATGATTCACCTTTTCCATTTTATATATAAGTGGAATGAATCGTTACAACTGCTTTTGTTATGCAGTTTAACTTCTGTACATGCTAAGCTTGTGTTTGACTTTTATGTTCGATATATAGTAGTGCAGCGCCTTTGTTTTAATTACCATTTTGAACCATATTATGGCTTGCAAGAGTATGAATGCATGATATATTGTGTACTTCCTCTCCCTTGATGTTATTGTCATTGGTATATATTGCTATTAGGTGCTTGGACACTCAAGTGCATTTGGTTAAACTAGCCAAAAAGCCTGTGTTTTGCAAGTTGCTGCTATGGACATCCTTAGTGTTTATTCACTCAAATATTGTGGACGCTCAAGAGTCCGACTTTTCAGTTATAATGGGTAGCGCAGGCGTGGCGTTGATCCCTCGGACTACCTTCCTCGGCCAGGTGATCAATGGCAGAACTAGCGTCATCGCCGAGCTCAGGCGATTTTCTTTTAAGATAATGGAAGCTTTTATTGAACTCAGTCAATTACATCAAGGTGATACAATTATCCTGAGAACACTTCCGGCCTCTGCATAACTAAGATGCACACAACCGAACATACAAAACCACACTCGAAAGGAAAAAAGAATGACATGGAGTATTGAGGACCATCAATCTAACGACTAAATTGCCACTCATGAACAACTCCTTGGCCATCTCCTCCAAAAGCACATAGTTTTAAGGACCACCAATTCTAAGACTAGATCGCCACCCATATCCCTAGGTAAAAAACTCCTTGACCACATTCTCTAAATGTTGACATGCCGCAACTACCATTTTCCGCGAACCAGGCTTTTGTAGGATAGCCCATATACAAAGCCAATGGATAAGAGAATATATAACCTGCAAAGGTGAAGATATGACTTTTTTTTAATCAAAAACCACATTATTCCTGCATAGCCAAAGCGACTAACAAGTAGCAGCTGCTCCTAACAGAACATGTAATTTCAAATTATTATGAATTCCATCGAGCCAGCTCACAAACATATGTGCTACACAATGAAAACCAATGATGCGCGGTAATAAATTATTCCATGCCGCTAGTTTTGATCCTATAAGGTCTCTTTGCCATGAAAAAGATGGAGTGCCATGAAAAAGATGGAGGATTGTTTTCGAAGACTTGTGCAACTATAGCGTGCTTATGCCTAACTATGTTGTAAAGGAAAGGATACTGTTCTTTCAAGGTTGAATTGCCCAATCATTTGTCTTCCCAAAACCTAATTTGGGAGCCATCTTTAATTATAAAGGATCTAAAACGGAGAAAGTCCTGTTTCACCTTCATGAGGCTAGACCAAAAGTGTGAGTCCCCTGTCTTCCATTGAGCTTGAGAAAGAGGTTTATCACCGAGATACTTATTACGCATCAACTGTTGCCAAACCCCTTCCGTGGAGAGCAACTTGAATAACCACTTACTAAGTAGAGCCATATTCTTAATTTCTAAATTATGAATTCCTAATCCCCCTTGTTCCTTGGGGCGGCACAATATTTCTATTTAGCAAGACGATACTTTTTTTTTTACCATCACTTTGCCAATAAAACCTGGAGCGAAAATAGTAAAGCTTTATAAGTATCCCTCTTGGTATGGCAAAGAAGGACATCATATACAATGGGAGGCTATTTAGCACCGAATTAATCAATGTTAGCTAATGATATTTTACTATGATCGACTAAGTTTTATAGATTTTGATGGCTTTCGACAGTAAAGATGGCAACAACGAAGCCCGGGCGGCCACCGGACCTGCTGGGAACTGCCTCTGGGGCTGCAGGTCATAATAAAGGTTAAATAGTAAAAGAGAGACGATTGATCTGCACCTTTTCCCTTTTGTAAAAGGTTGACGGATCCAAGTGTGTTGGTGCTAGTTGTTGTCAGTGACTAGCAAGATGGGCAATTAGGACAACTAAATTAAGCGTGCAAACGGTGTGAATTAAGGGATCATTTGCTATCCCTTTCAGATTTGATAGATTAGTATTATTACTCCCTCCATCCTAAATTATAGGACGCCCCCTTTCTAAGAAAAATTAAACTCGGTAGCTTTTGACTAATAATTATGCTAACTATATCTATACTAAGTATTATGTATGTTATATTACTAGTTTCATATTTTGAAGTATCTTCATGTGATGCTAATTTCATACTTGTTGTGATTATAGAATGAAATAAAATACTGGTCAAAGGATGTTACTGAAGACCATGTAAAAAAAATTATAGGCCTTATAATTTAGGACAGAGAGAGTATTATTCAGTTTCGAGTTGTCAATATTTGTAGAGCAGTGCTAGTAAAGAAGCCGGCAATCGGCTCTCATCTGCATTTTAGCTTATGGACCGTCTTAAAATTCAAATACTGAAACTTAAGAGATTAAGGGTTTTTTTTATTGTAATTCATTTTCTAAGTATTAGATTCCCTCCTAATAACACACATAAAAGTTTTATTTGCCCCGTTTATCTTTTCACGGCTTTTATCAACCATACCGTAGCTTAAACGATCAGAGCCGACCCACATGAATCGAACTACCTGTGCCCTCCTGTTTTCATATTTTCAGGATCTCTTGACAACATTTACAAAGAAGCATCCGTGGCATTCGAATATAAGATGCACCAGCCGGATATAAACTAGAAACATGAAAACGTACTCCAACCTTTGCATCAGAAAGTGTATCTGGTCAAGCAACAGCTATGTAAACCTGATAACTTGAGCTAAGAAACTGCAAAGCACAGTCGGAGCTGTGAAAGTATATGATGGACTGCTCTTTTAATCAGGTAAAATTAAACTTAGGAGGCTGGGGTCAAACTTAATTGTTACATCAATCATGCCATCAGTTGTGCCGTTGTATTTTCATCATATCAGGTGAATTCTGGTCGCTTCTCATTTAAGAAAGTGAACTATGTGCTCCCAGTGACACTTGCATTTAGTCATCTGATAATTGAGTAGAAGGCTTCATATAGTTCATATAGTAAACATATTAGGTCAAGGTAATAAATAGTAGATAGCAGAAACTAAACTCCTGATTAGTGGCCTCAAAATTCTGTCACACACATAGCTGAATTTCCTTACTATGTGAACTATGAATCCTTTTACTTTTGTCATGTGAACCAACTTTTAATCTAAATCTACTGCTGCAAACACCATGGAATGCATTGTAAGAGCTCAGCATATCTTACTTTTAAGGAAACATTTACATGACCATATATTGAATTTAGAAATGCAACAGACAAACTGAGAATTTTGTATATCGATTTTCGTTGCCTGACTTTAACCAATAATACAACTTTCAATCAAAGAAACTTGTTTGAATCATGTGAAGACTTTTTAATAGTATTTAATCCTGCTACCAAGTATTTTGATTCTGATTAAAAATGTAGTTGAAAAAAAAAGAAAGTACTGCTGCAACCAAGGCCCACAATCTCCCTGTTCCAGAGTAACAGATCACCAAACAAATGATGATTTCAATAATTAGTTGAACATACATTCAAGTAATAATGGGATGTCTTGAACTTAATGTCCTTGCGGCATATATCATGAAATGCATTCATCATCTCAAACAAGCTGCAGATGACATATCAGACAAGGAAAAGCAATTGACAAGTATGCCCCTTTTATTTGAATGCAGTACTTTAAAAAAAGAAAGAAAGTAACTCATAAATTTCATTATTCAGTTGGCACTTGCAAGAAGATGCTGCAAGTTATCAACTCACAAAGCATCATAATCTGTTGCATGGAATCTCTGTATCTGACAAAGGATTCAGTTTGTGGCTGCTATCAGCAACTTAAGTCACTTGATTCTCCCTAACTGTAATGATAATACCTCTCAGACATCCCATTGCCATTTGCTAGATTTATGAAAAAGACATATTCTGGAAGAATGTGGCACATCCTCATGTTATTACTATGTTAGATGATATCCACAACTGTGTTAGCGATCGGAAAAAAGGCTTGCCAAAAGGCAAAAGCAAATTGATGTGAATTTCACAAATATTCTCAAAAACATAGACACTATGCATGAGTGTGCACGGAAGAAAGCATATTGTACCGATACCACGTACCAGTCTGCCAAACTTCCAGCAAGATCGAAACTAACCTATCATGGACAACAACCATCATGGTTCCTTCTTTTTTGTTGTTATCCAAGCAAACCATACCTTTTAGATTGGTTCAAATGCACTAATGCTTCGGAAATTTCGGCAGTCACTAGTATAACTGCTAACTACATACCTCGATTACCATGAATCCCGAAATGGCCTAGGCACTCAAAAGATTCGATATATTTGTAGTAATTTCATTCAAATTGAGTTTCACCATAGCACCAAAATCGAACCAAATACTAATAGAGTAATAGTCAATATCAATTTCACTTGCTCCAAAATTTCAGCAAAGTGCACCTCATATGTACATCTATCACAATTTAACAACATGAATTGCATCACAACAATGAGCAATACCTCGCAATCTTGAACTCTGCTCCCCAAGGGTCAGTTAGGATGGTGGATGATCCTTTGCAGCACGACGGTCCTCGCGCGGCGGATGTCCCGGCTACACCGGTCTGCCTGCTCTCCCAGATCATCCACACTCTTCATGAACAATTCCAGCTTCTTCTTGACCTCATCTATGCCGAACCTCACCGCCTCCTCGTCGCGCTCTGCGAACTCCACGGAATCGGCCATGGAGCTGATCTGAACCTCAAGGTGTTCGACGAGCACCCTGATGCTGTCAAGGTCCTTGATGGCGATGAAGGTGCCCACCTGCATTGCGCTCACCACCTCCTTGTGTCCATGGAGCGCGTCCTGGTATTTCTTTAGCAGCGAGTCCATCCATTTCCCCGCGGAGCCCACCGGCATGGATGCCGCGGCGGCGAGCGCGGCCGCGACGGGCGGCGCGGCGATGGCCGCGGCGACGACCGAGCAGACGAGCAGCGCGGCAAAGGAGGTGAGGAAGACGATGCCGGAGACGCGGCGCCACACGCGGACGGAGCGGAGGCGGCGGTCCAGGCGGCGCTTCCGGCGCCGGAGCTTGCCCACCATGGACATCTGCTGCCGGTACACGGTCTGGAACGCGGCGAAGAACTCGTCCGTGAACGGCTCGCCGGCCGCCTTGAACTGGCGCAGCTCGCCGAGCGTGCTCGCGTACAGCTCCGACGCCGACGCCGCGGCGGGGGGTTCGTGGTGGTGGCGCTGGAGGGCGAGGTGGAGGACGAGCTGGGAGTCGCGGGCACGGTGGAGGGACTTGTCGAGCGCGGCGAGGAAGTCGAGGGTGTGGAGGCTGCCCTCGAAGTAGTCCTCGACGAGGTCGAACAGGTCGGGGCTCCGCCACACGTCGCGCTTGCAGTCGAGCACGACGCGGACCACCTCCTGGTTCATGTCGAGCAGGCAGCCGGTGACCTCCCGGAGCGAGCCCAGCGACAGCGACCGCACCTCCACCCCGGACGCCACCGCGGTGATGGCGCGGCTCGCCCGCCGCCGCAGCGCCGTGTCGAACGTCCCCAGCTCCGGGTCCGCGCTGCACGCCGCCTCGTACGACCCAGGTTCCCCCTCCCCGTCCTCCTCCTCCTCCGCCGCCGACCGCCCACTCGCCAGCCGCCGTGGCCGCATAATGCCGTGACGATTCCCCATCGCCGGCGAAGCCAAGATAGCACACAAAATCAAGAAACGGAAGAAAGATTTGGGAGGATGGTGAGTTTTTATAGTAGAATGGTGATGAGTGGGGGAGTAGTGTGGGAAGAAGAGGGGAGGTGAGGATGTGGGGGAGGATGGCTTGCACGCATTAGGAAAAAGGGGAAGGACAGATGAGGAGGGTGGAGGTGGCGGCAATGGCGACGCGGGGAAGCAACCGGAGGAAGAGGAAAGCAAGCGCGATGCTCTGCTCTTCTTCCCCTCCACCTCTGGAGTGTGAGAAGCGCGTGGTGCATCACGTGCTCTTCGTTTCTCTCTCTTCCACCGCCACCAGCAGCAGCAGAGAGCAGGAGAGAGAGGGGAGACGCGGCGTGTTCCCCTGCTTTGGCTTTGGCTGGGGGAAGCTGGAGAGTGATGAGAGAGAAGAGCGCAAGGTTGGTGCTGCCATGCAGTGGCAGCTGGATGAAAATGGTGCTATCAGTTTTTATTATTATTTTTAAACTAGGAAGATAGCCCGCGCATATGCGCGGGCATGTGCGTAAAATTTTATTACGAATGTCCATGTGTAGATGGTTTTCTATCCAAAATATTATTTTACATTATCATAAACTAAAATTGAACTTATTTAACATGCTTTGAACGTTGGTTACTTGCAACATATAAATTGTGAACTAAAATTACATCAAACCGTGTTGTTTTTAATTCATGAGAAAATTTTGTAACGAAACAATTGATGTGTTTCCTATGAATGTCCAATTCTTTTGTTAGATTTTATTTGAAATTTTAAATATTTTCATTTTTTGGTCCTACTAAAATGTTTGAATATTTCTATCTAGAATGGGTTATAAACCCAACAAAAAGAATTTTAAAATTAGATAAATTTTGTTTAATTTTCATTTCATTTTATCTTCATTTTTTTTGGACAAATCCACTATATGAAGCATCTTTGAAATGCTTTGATCTCAATATAAGTGGGTTGATCCTACAACTTGGCATGGTGTAAAGGCATCCATAATTCTAAATTATCTCGCTCCAATTATGTAAAAAAAATTAATATAGAGGCCATAGTATTTTCTTAGCAAATTACCGCTAAACTGGAGCGTCAGGTAAGAATCACACGTTTGTAGATTGTTCCATGCTATATGTCACAAATTCACGATGTACTGCAGCAAGTTTTACCAAAAAGTAAATGGATACGGTCTTTAAATTCCTATATGGAATTGGGTTATATATTGCTGAGGCGACATCAGGTTGTTTCACTCTTAAGATTCCTTGGTGCAACCAACATGCTTAGTACGATCAGTATGTTGTTCAACTGGCCACATGACTTCATAGATCATATATATAATTTAGACGCTACGATCATCTTAAGATTATTTATTTATCTCCTAAAATGATCATTTATTGATAAAAGCATCAATATCAAAACGTATGGGTAAATAGCTTTTGTATACACGCTGAGAAAAAAATAACTAAGTTGATAGAAAGTCGTTAGATGTCTAATGGGATATAAGTAATGGGTCTACCAGTTTTATAAAAAAATCGACTGGGATATTTTGATTTTTAGTGAGAAATTTTAGTATTTTATTTTATTTAGGGTAAAATTTGCTAGGGACATCTAAAAAACATGTACTTAACCGGGGACACCGTAAGAACGCGTATCAGTTATGGGACACCGAAAAAACTTTATAAAATCCAAAGGAAATGGACAGAGAAACAATAACGAAAGTATGATTTTGCCCCTTGCCTACCAAGTTCAGCTCGCAAACACCTCCGACACTGCAACCGCACCCGCCGCCAGTGAGATGGCTGTCTAGTGGGGGGAGGGGGTTTCGAGAAGGGCCCATGCGCCTGGGCCCGTGGCTCCATGTCGTTCTTGCACTCGTCGCCGCTGCAGTGCAAGGGCCATGTTGGTGTCAATGCTCCGCCACACACCGCGCTTGGGGTTAGCACAACGTGGACCACCTCCTGATTCATGTCGAGCAGGGCGCCGCAAAGCACAAGCTATTGCTGTCAGTCTCGCAGCCGCACCACGCCACGATGCCATACCCTCCACCTCCCATGTCGTGACTACCACGACGTCTGAGCTATATGCGAGCCACACTTGGCAGGAAGGGGGCAAAATCATACTTTCGCAATTGTTTCTCTCCCCCTTTCCATTGGATATAACAAAGTAATGCTGCGGGTATCTAACAGCTAATTACCAGTTTTTTGCAGTGTCCCATAGCAGATATACGTTATTGCAGTATCTCTTAGCTAATTACACTTTTTTTTTATATCTTGTAGTAAATTTTACCTTTAGTAAGTAGAGGCTACAATATGGATGTGGGTCCATAATGTAATTTTTTGTTAGCACTTAAATACAGTCAATATGGGCATTAAGTTATTGTTTTCACTTAAAATAATAATAACTGGCTAGACCTAATAGATGGAGATTCGCTTGTGGTCTTTTCTTTGCCCATAAAAATAATTTTAATTATCATAGAGATAGAAAAACAGAGAAAAGTAAGGCCGCACACCACACGGGAACGGGGATGGAGGGAGGGTTGGGATGTTTCTTTTTTTTAGAAAAAAATTGATTGATCTGATGACCTAAAATATAATGTGTTGAATTTTAAGTCAAAACTGATGGTTGGATGTTATTTTTTTCTCAGATTTATTAGTTCTTTTCTAATTTAACTTTGACAAGTGGCAGCTTAGCAAAACGCGTATAGGGATGTAGAGGAAGGGAATATGGTTTGGGATGTTTTTTTATTAGAAAATATATCAATAATGATGTAAAATAATGTGTTCATATTTAAGTGGAAGCCAATGGATGGATGTTTCTATAATTTAAGAATGTCATACAACGATTTAGAAATGTTTATAAGAGGTTTAATAGACTTTAACGCCTATTTATGAGATTATTTTCCATAAAGATAATTTTAATTTTAATTATGATAGGGATAAAAAACAGAAAGGAACAGGGAGCCTACAAATTGATACGTGCGTGGTACACGGATATGGGGACATGGGAGGTTTTGGTATTCTAAGATAGATCTAACGAAGTCCACCGATTTAAATGAATATCGATGGTTAGATTTCTCTATTTTATTAGGATGCCATGTGACGGTTTGGAAGTGTTTGTAGGAAATTTAATAGATTTTATTTAGAATTTAATAGATTTTATTTAGAATATAATAGATAGATAGATAGTACTACGTACATATGGATTTTTGCTTTATTTTATATGGTAGAAAATTATATTTTATATTTTTTCTTCCGATGATACGTTGTACTAATTTTTTTTTTGCCTTTATCTCATTTTGACACTGGCAATTTTTTTATTCCGGCGAATCGAACGGAAGCTTTTCTTTTTTTTCTGAATCATACGTACTGGTATTTTTTTGTTTCGTCGACGGTACGTATTCTCACTTTTATACAGGGAAGGTATTATATACACACACCTAATGATTATTCTAAAGTAATGGGCCCACCAATTTAAATGGAAATCAACGATACATATAGATCTAATCTAATGGTATAAAATAGCGGGTCCACCAATTAAATGAAAATCGACAGTGAGATTAGATAGTACCACGTGGCGGCATAGGAGCGTTTATAGGAGTCCCACGTGGCTACTTGAGAGCGTTTGTAGGAAGTTTAATGGAGTTTTAGTATATAATAGATAGATTCTATGCAAACGGTTAGAAAATTCATGAATTTAACTAATTTAGTGTTAATTTCAATGTGACACTCATAGGAGTTAAAAAACTATACTTTTAAAATAGCAACAGCCAATAAACATATTATTATTATATCATTTTTGAGGAAATTGTACTTGAACGGTCAGAAAATTTCCATCCCATTTTTACCATTTTTACAGCATTGGCAGCCATCATGGTAAAAATGGGAGAATTTTTTGTTTCGAACACAACTAAAATATGAGTAGAAAACCAAAAGAGCAAAATGCAGCTAACAAACTCGTGTAATTCAGTAGAGATTTTGACAGCAAGAGGCTATGCAAAAAGTGAGTAAAGTCATTAGCGAGTGATTAGTTAAATCTTAACTATCATTTACTTAAAAATAAATTTATTTTACTTTTTACAAACATCTTTATATAAAGTTTTTTTTTATAAAACATACTTTAATAGTTTACGAAGCGTGTCCATAAAAAATGAGAAAAGAGAAAAGTAACTCAGCCTAGTTTATCATTAGTTGTAGGCACACATTAACGGTGATAAAGAAAGAGATGCTAAATGTTTTCCTTCCATTTAATTCTTTTCTTACAATTATCGGTGTGCTTCATCAAATTATCTTCGTTGAGGATTTCACTTCCCTCAAATGTGATACCACTTGAAAAATACTCGTATAATATTTAGAGGTATCTGTAGTTTCTTTACATTTTTTTATATGATCCTCTAAACATGTTCATCAAAATTCAACGCGACCTTGCCAGAATTTCAGTAGCCATTAATTTGGCAAACGGGACACAAGTATTTAGTACACTTTTGTAAGCATCCCAGTGAATTGAAGGTGTGAAACATCTACTCTGAAGTCTCTAAGATCAAGCAATTGACGTACATTACTTAAAATAATTAATAGTCCAACCAACCAATTGTGGATAACACTTCTCAATTGACGTACATACTACAATTAGTTATTCGTTAACAAAAATAAAATGAGTAAATCCCAAAACTGGCACATGGTATATATCCGTTCATGCTTGTTGAAGAAAGCAAAACTAGATTGGCGCCGCCAGAAACAGTAATTTTTTTTTTGTTGATGGAGGTCAATGGTGCTAATCTTTTGAAATTTTACAAAAGCTGCAGCTATCATAAGGAAATTTTTAAGACATTGAGGGATGGGCCTCTGCTCGCCCCTCCCTGGCTTCACCACTGTAGAAAGATAGCACCTTACCCCATGTCCATCTTGTAAAATCATCAAAGGTGTTTTTGATTATTATTCTGTGATGAACAATTGGCATTGGAGATTATTGGTTTTGTTATTTGGAATTTATTTACGAAGTGGTTTTGGAGATGATTGGATTTACAGGTGAATTGCAGGTGCTGTGATTTTATGTGACCGGTCAGACCGGGCAGTGGTTGCCGGTCAGACCGGCTATATGTGCGCGGTCAGACTGGCTAGCCTGCGGTCTGACCGGCCGACGCTGTGTTGGTTTCGGTTTCGGGTTGTTTGTTTGGATATCCGTGTTTATTTCATGATTATGGCTTCTAGATGGATACTATACGTATGTAATACTGTTGCTTGCTACTAATGAGTCAAGTTGGAGATAGCTTGGTCTCGGAATATGGTTTCTTTGTTTATTTCATGTGTAGGTGACTCGATGCCTCGGGAGAGTATTTGCGGTGATGGACCGGGAGTCGGCTTGGGGATAAGACGACGTCCGTGGTGGTCAGAGATCATGCGGGATACTT